GGGCGGGTGGGGTGGGGAAGCCGGATTCTGGGGGCGGGGCCTGATGATGGGTGGGTGGGACTTGGGGCGGGGCCATGGTGGGCGGGGCCTGAGGGACTGTTGGGACAGGATGGCGGGCGCCGGGGGAGGGGTCCGCGGGACGGGGACTGCGCGGGACCTATAGCACTGGGTCTAGGGGAAGGCGGAGGTGGGGCAGGACCTAGGTCAGCCAGATGGCCTAGGCCCGAGGACTTTGCTCTTGGGATAGGTGCAGAGTTGATGGGCGGGGCCTGCGATGCTGGGGAGGAGCCGCGGAATGGAGTAATAGGAAGGCAGAGGTATAGCGCGGGGCAGATGAGTGGTCCTGATGGCAGATGGCCTCTCAGTAGTAGGCTGAATTGGCTCGTGAGGGGCAGGGCCTATGTGGATGGAAGCTAGAAGGGGGACGCGCTTGGAAGGTGAAAAAATGGGCTATTAGATCAGGGCCTAAGAAAGGGCGGAGCTTCAGAAGGGTGGGCCTTGGACCAGGTGACCTTAGGCTGGGTTGGCTGCAAAGCCTGAGTGGGGGCTTGAGGGTGGTTCACGGGAAATGAAGCGGTATTTGTTTTGGCCAACGACCAGGCTACTTGGGGGCCTAGTATTTGAGAAGGCCCGGCCTGGAACAGGAGGTGCGCCTGTGATGAAATAACAAAGGAGGGGGCACAGTCTGGCAGGGGTGGGGCTGGGCTCACAAAGATAGTGTCTGCTCAGGGAGCCTTCTCACAGCTTTTCTGTTCCCGAGACTCCCTTTGAGAGATAGAGTGGTGTAGCAGTTACACTCATGGGCTTTCTTCGCCGGTTAAACACAGCAAAATCCTAGGCGAAGATTCAATGATATAATGCATATAAAGGGTTGTAGCACAGGGCTTGGCACATAGTAGTTGCTAAATAAAGAATGGCAATTATAACCATCATTGTCTTTTTTTCTTTTCCTTTTTTTTTTTTTTTTTTTTCCAAAAAGCATTCACTGAACACCTTCTGTGGGCCACACACTATTTAGGGCCCTGGCGGAATATGGTGGGGACATTGACAAGTTCCCACCCTTCTAGATTTCACAGCCCAGTGAGAGAAACATCAGTTCACTCATTCAGCTCATTTCCACTGGGCACCTACTAGATGCCAGGGCTGTGTGTGACAAAGTTCGGAGTGCCAGTGGTGCCCTTCTCTGCTTCGACTTGGAATGTCAGGGAAGGGTGTTCAAGAGGAGGTGGTTTCTGCTTTCCTTGGGGCAGTATCTTCTCGGTTCTTCGTGAACAGTTCTAGTGCCTAAAACAGTGCCTGGCACATAGTAGGGGCTCAAAAAATATTAACTGAAAGAATGAATGAATTTATGAGCTGAAATTACAAGATGGGTAGGAGTCAAGCAGGAAGTGTGTTCCAGGCACAGGGAACAGCATATGCAAAAACCTAAATGTGGGAAGCAGCCTCACCTCTTTGCAGCCAATTGTCTCTTTAGAATCTCTCGCTCTTTCCAGTCTCTGTCTCATCTTTCTCCATCTCTCTCGGCAGGCACGGGCGCCCCCTCGTGGCGGCCACAGAAGAACCGCTCCCGCGCGGCGTCAGGTGGGGCGGCGCTGGCCAGTCCTGGCCCGGGGTCGGGGTCAGGGCCCTCTGCTGGGTCCGGGGGCAAGGAGCGCTCGGAAAACCTGTCCTTGCGGCGCAGCGTATCGGAGCTCAGTCTGCAGGGTCGGAGGCGGCGGCAGCAGGAGCGCAGGCAGCAGGCACTTAGCATGGCCCCAGGGGCAGCCGATGCCCAAATCGGACCTGTAGACCCCGGCGACTTCGATCAATTGACCCAGTGCCTCATCCAGGCCCCCAGCAACCGCCCCTACTTCCTGCTACTGCAGGGCTACCAGGACGCCCAGGTAAGCGCAACCAATCCTAACGAGAGAGACCTATGCCCCAACCTTCGGTTGAATGGGCGGCAAAACTACAACTCCCAGAATCCCGTGGGTCGCGTTAGTCTCATGTATGTTGGAAGGTATGGTCCCAGCCAGGTTCCAGAGTAGGAAATAATATCAGAGAAGAGAATGGGAGTGGTGGAGATAGATGTCGGAGAAGGATTTCACTGGAGGGGCAAGTAGGCGATGATTCATTTCTTTCAAAGTTGGGAGAAAGCAGTATCTTCCTCCAGGGAGAATGGGAGAGCCCACTTTATTTTATATTTTATTTTATTTTCCTATGCTGTGCGACTTGCGGGATCTCAGTTCCCCGACCAGGGATTGAACCCGGGCCACAGCAGTGAAAGCCCGGAATTCTAACCACTAGTCCATGCCTAGCCGTAACTCCTGGGAGAGCCTATTTTAGAAAGATCTTCTTGGAGGCCTCTCTTTCTTGAGGGAGAGTAATGGAAGAGTATCTTCTGGGGAGGGAGATAATTTGATTGATGCCTGGAATCTTGTTCGGGGTAAGCCTATGTTGTCTTAGGAGGAGTGGATTGAATCATTTTTAAAAAAATATTTAATTAATTAATTAATTAATTAATTTTTATTTTTGGCGGTCTTGGGTCTTAGTTGCGGCATGCAGGATCTTTTGTTGCGGGCACGGACTCTTCGTTGCGGTGCAAGGGCTTCTCTCTAGTTGTGTCGCGCGGGCTCCGTACTTTGCAGCACGCGGGCTTAGTTGCCCCGGCATGTGGGGTCTTAGTTCCCCGACCAGGGATCGAACCCGAGTCCCCTGCATTGGAAGGCGGATTCTTTACCACTGGACCACCAGGGAAGTCCCTAAATCATTTTTTAAAGTTGATGGTTTACTTTGGAACGATTGTGAGCATTGTTGATGGGGACAGGTGGTAATGATACTTCTATTTTACATATATGAGTGGCATTAGGAGAGCTTGTTTGAGTGTTGGGGAACAAGAGAAAGAAAGGATTA